AGGGGTTACTTGGCCAAAGAGTAAGGTCCTGGGGTGCTGGCCGGTGTGGGATGGCAGGTAGCTGCTGGTCAGCCAGCCCCGCATCTCTGTGGGCGGGCAGGAGGCTGCTCCCCAGCAACACGCCAAGGACCTGGCCTGCCGGGCCCACGCTGGCATTTCCTAAGCTCTGCTAACCCTATTGTCATTGTTATCCTCCCTTTACAAGTGAGGAAGCTGGGATTTGAAGTAAAGCTACCGGAACCCAAAGCCAGAACTACCCCATGCCGTACTCTCCAACACAGCTACCTCAATGCCCTAGCCTCCCAGCCCTGGGGGGCTGCCCAGGTGGTGGCCGATTGACTGGCTATTGAGAGGCTTCCTTGCCTCTCTGATCCCCGCATGCACCCTTCCCTCCTTCGCATTTAGGATGTGACCTGTGTGCAGGGCTGGAAACAAGGAGGGGTCATGGAGAGGCAGCACTGGAGGTTCCAGAACAATCACCTGTCCCCGGATCCCTGCCCTCCCCACCACCATCAAGATGCTAGTCCCAGAAGTCTAGGCTGGAAGCCCAGGAACCTGGTGGTCCTATGTGCTCTGAGAGCAACCCAAGGATAAAGCAGAGCTGGGCATTTGACCAGGGTTCAAGTCCCACCTCCCTCTCTCAGCTCTGAGATCTTGAAGGACTTTCTTAACGCCTCTAAGCCTCAGGTAAGTACCGTAAAGGTAGAAGGCAAAGCATGAGACCCATTTACTTCCAGCTCTCAGCTGGGATGTTAATGAGGAAAGGGCCTGGTTAACAGGCTTCACGTGTGTAAGATGCAATAGTAAGTAAAAAAAAAAAAAAAAAAAATGGGGCTTGGCCCTGGGGGTATGAGGAGTGGGGTGACTGGTTACAGCCTGGTGGCCCATCCAGGGCCAGTAAGTTCCCTGCAGGTCCCCGGTGGCTCTCTTGGGGTGGGGGTGGGGGTGGGGGTGGGGTGTGCACCTATAATCCTGGAACTGGCTGCCTGGCTAGACGGCACACCCGCCTGCCCAGCCGAGTCCTCACACCTCCCTGGGCCGGGCGGGCTGAGTCATGGAAACAGTTAGCTCCACAGGCTGCACCTCTCCTCCCTCCTCCTCCAAGCCCACAAAGGCTCCTTTCACGTTTGGGGGGCGGGAGGGGGTGGTGGGGAGAGGCTGTGGGGCCAGCTCCCCAGGCTGGGATGTGAAATTCAAACTTCACCCTGGAGTTCAATTCCCCACCCCTGGCCACAAAGGAGGCTAAGGGGGGAGGGGCTACCAGGAGCACAGGACCAGGGGTGGGGGAAGAGGGTGCGAGGGGAGGGCAGCAGGCTCGCGTCCCTTGCAGTTCTCCGTGGAGCCAAGCCCAGGGACCCTCTGTGTGGCCGAGAGTGGTGCACCCCAGACAGCACCCCTCGCCCTCCTCTTCCTTGAGAACTTGGAGGAGGGAACTCAGAGGAAGTGACAGTGCTTCTAGGGGCACTGATGACAAACGAGGCCTGAAGCTCCCAGGGGTACAAGCCCACAAACCCACTCCCTGGAGGTGGAACCAGCAGAAACGAGGCGTCTGCTTCCCAGCCACCGTCCAACCCAGCTCCTTTTAGGATTGCCTGCCGTTGCTTTTCATTCTGATTTCACCCGAACCTGGTGGTCTGGAGAAGGGCGGGCACCCCCGTGGCCTGGCAGGAGTTCCTCAGGTTTGCTGAGCCTCCGTTTCCTCCCAGAAAATGGCCCAGCGGCACCCGCCTCCTGGGGCTGTTAGGAGAGTAAGCGAGAATCTGTGCAGGAGGCCTGGTACGGTTACAGTCAGTTTGGGTTCTCAGCCTCCTTCTCCCTCAGACACACGCCCAGAGAAAATGTAGGTAGGACTCTGGCCACCAGGTTGGTTGGCATCTGAACCGGCTGGAGATCAGGGGCCTTAGGTGAGCACACTGCTGTGTGTATGTGCTGCTGAACACCTCTGTGCCTCAGTCTCCCCACAAAGCAGTGGGTGTGGGGGGGCCTGGGGGTAAGGTCTTCAGGAGCCTTTTTAGGCCTGAAAGGAAAGGGGTAGCTTGGTGGGTTTAGCAGAAAAGGGGGAGGCGGGAGGCGGGAGCAGTACCGCACCCCGGCCACTAGGTGGCCCCGAGGATAACAGATGAGACCAGGCTGAGCGCACCCCTTCCAGCTCCAGACTTTCTGAGTCCTCTTCTTGGCAGGCCTGGCAGACACCTGGCATGGCTGGGTAGAAAGGGCTGCTGGGATTCCTTTTCCATTTTTACAGACCTCCCTCCGAGGAGGAGGCGGCGATCACTCTAACCAAGTGCTGACTTGAGCCGTGGCCTGGGAGTTGGATGAAGGCAACGGCCTGCTTTTCCGTCCTACTTCTGGAGGGTCCGATGGAGGCCGGAGGGAGCCTCATCCTGCCCCTCTCTGCTCCCTCCTGCCCCAATGGGGTGGGTGGGAAGACAAATCAGGTCTAGATTCGGATCCTTCCCTCCTGCACTTCCTGGCAGGGTAACCTGGCAAATGGGGACAATGCTTTCCCATTGCATGGTCCATGGGAGATACAGTCAGAAGATAAGCATTTTAAAAATTTTATTTTTTATTTTGAGAGTATTGTAGATGTCCCCCCATTTTTACCCTTTTGCCCCCCTCCACCTGATTCCTGCCCCACCACAAGCCTTCATGGGACCACTGTCTGTGTCCATGAGCATATGTGTACATGCATATAAGTTCTTTGGTGAATCTCTTCCACCCACCCTCGCCCCTTCCCTCTGAGATCCCTCAGTCTGCTCCATGCTTCCAGGTCTCTGGACCTCTTTTGTTCATTAGATTCCACATGTATGCGTTCCGTGTAGGACAGAGGGTCTCTCATCCAACTCCACTCCCAAGCTCTCCCAGCTGCTTCCCGGTTAAGAGTCCCCCAGTTCACCTGGAAGATCCTCCCCTGCGGAGCTTCTCCCCAGAATTCGGGGGGGGGGGGGTGTCTTTGCAGCGGAAGAGGAGGTAAACCCCAGCCACCTCTCCCCAAATCAGCCTGGCTCCCAAAGAAGTCCTCCCAGGGCCCTCGGCATTGGCCAGGGAACGTGGGGCGGGGAGGCCCGACCAAACCTGCCCACAGAACCGCTGCCCCAGATCGCAGGGCAGCTCCCGGGGCCCCCTCACTCCTCCTGGCCTGGGCTCTTGGGGGCCGCAGGAAGCGAGTCCCATCAGCACTTCTAACCGGGGCTGCTTCTGAGTGAGTCACCTCCCAGACTTCCTGCAACAGACAGCTCTGCAGAGCTGGGTCCCACCCTCCAGCAGGGGCGACGGTGGGGGGGGGGGGGAGACAGGAGGCTCCAGGGTGGGTGCCCAGCCAGCGAGGTCGGCCCACGGAGCCCCACGGAGAGAAGGCGCCGCCAGCCAGCGGCACAGGGGGCACCGGCTCAGGACGGTTTGTTTACAGGCTTTTGTGATTAAGGAAACTGCTGTCAGTCACGGTAATTCTAGTCCAGATGAGCCATAAATACGCTCCCACCTAATCTTATGGGGATTTTTATTGGCACCTTGGGGGCAGAGTTCCTTACCCTGCCCACCTTTTCTCCCCGCAGCAAACCCCTTTCCAGCAAACTCCCCAGCTGTTTCCCCCATCAGCGCGGGGCTCCCGGCGCGGCTTTGGAAAGCGCACGCCAAGTGGAGACAGAAGACGTCTGGGCAAAGGTCGGGAGTGGCTTCCTGGTCCTACCTGCAGGCTGGGGTGTGTGTGTGTCCAAACGGCCTGACACAGACCCTGGGCGACCTGGTTAGATCAAGGCATGCGCGAGCTCCCCGGGGCCTGCCCCGATCAGGGGGTCCCCAGGCACCCCCGCTCCGGGCGTCCGCACCCCCCCCCCCCCCCACTCCGGGGACCGCGTCCGGAACCGGGAGGAATGTCTCCAGGAGGGAGCCGGTTCGCAGGACTCGGTCCCAGCGCGTTGGAGTTCCAGCTGCGAGCCGAGCCCTCAGAGGCCCCGCCGGCAAGCCCCGGCTTGCAGACCGGGGAGCAGCCCCGGGAGGGAGGACGCGCGGCGGAGCGAAGTGTGCGCGCCACCCCCTCCCGCGCGCGCCCCCGCGTTCCCCGCGCGCGCTCCCCCCGCGGCCGCGCAGGGGGGAGGGGGAGCCGCGGCAGCCAGTCAGAGGCACGGGCGTGAAGCCTCGGACCAACTTTAACTGTCAATCAGACTTAATGGGGTATTAAAAAAAAAAAAATGGGGGGAAACACGGCGGCCGCCCTCCGGCCCCGCGCGCCGCCGCCCGCCCCGGGAGCGGATGAATTAGGCGGCGCGGACCCGGGCGTCCGGGCCACGCGCGCCCCGCAGCCGGGCCCTCTCCAAGTTGAAAAAGGACAAAAAAAAAAAAAAAAAAAAAAAAAAAAAAAAGCAGGCCATACATGCTAACGAGGGAGAGAAAGCGAGCTGGATCGGGCGGCAACTCCCAGCCCGGGCGGCTGGAAGCGAGAGGGAAGGAGGGAGGGAGCCGGAGAGGAGAGCGGGCGGGCGCGCGCGAGGGCGAGCCCTGCAGGGAGAGAAACGGACACCCGGACCCCCCGCCGCTGCGGCGGCTGCACGGCGCTGGCCATCGGAGCGCCTTTAGGCAATTTCCTGAGCCCGAGCCTCGCCGGGAGCCGAGCGGCTTCCGCGGGCTGACATTGGGAGCTCCAAGCACTTTTTCCCCCCCACTTCCCCCCCCTCCCCCCGGAGAAGGGGTGGGGAAGCGCACCAATTTGGAAACAGATTCTTTTTTTTTTCCATCTTGCACTTTGAAACCGCGGGGCTGTGGCAGGGTGCGCGCGTGCGGCTGGTGCCCTCTCCCCCTCCCTCCGCCGGGCTCCGTCCCCGGTAAACATTTACCTGCGGATTCCCCCGCCGCCCGCCGCCCGCCGCCGGGGCAAGCAACTTCTTGTTAGAACTTCCCACCTCCGGCTTCCCCTCCGCCCCGCTCACTGTCCCAGCCTTCGCAGACGCTCTTTTCCCTCCTCCCCAGGAGGATTTATCTTTTTTCTTTTTTTCCTTTCTTTTTCTTTTCCTCGCCCGGTGCCGTGCACTCGGGGAGAGGTGGTTTCCAGCGCGGCCAGGTGGGACGCCTCTCCGCCCCCCGTCCCGTTGTATTTATTATTGTTTGTGGAGAGGTGTTTTCTTCTTTTTTCGATTCCTGTTTTGCCCGGCGGCGCGGGGAGTTTCGCCCCCCGCCCTGCCCGGCCCCGGCGCGGCGGAGGATGGGATGGAAGTGGCTGGGCGCGCTGGTGCTGTTCCCGCTCCAGATGCTCTACCTGGTGGCCAAGGCGGCCGTGGCGCGCGTGCTGCCCGCCAGGCTGCGGGACCTGTCCCGGGAGAACGTGCTCATCACCGGCGGCGGCAGGGGCATCGGGCGCCAGCTCGCCCGCGAGTTCGCAGAACGCGGCGCCCGGAAGGTACGGGGGGCGCTGCGAGGCCGGCGGGTGGGGGGGCCGAGGCTGCTTGGGATCAGGGGATCGGAGGCGGGATGGGGAGGGTGCCGAGGGGGGTGGGGGAGTGCGCCCACCTGCCGCCGCCGTTGCCCGGACCCGCGCCCGCCCGGGACCTGAGAGTCGCCCGCCCGCCGCCCGCGAACGCTGAGCTGGTCAGTTTCACCTGGTCCGTTTCCCATTCCCCGGCCCCGGACTGTCTGCTTTGGCAGGTCCCGGGCTGCTCTGCCCCTGGAGGGCTCCGTGGCTTGGCTGGCTGGTCGCCCCCACCCCGAAACTTGGGAGACCCACCCATTCCCCACATGCCTCCCTCCCTCCTTCCCCGGGAAGGTGTTGCGCCCCCCCCCTCGCTTCTCCCCTCCCGGCCACCGCCGCGGCGAGCGGAGGGTGTGTGTGCGCGCTGCTGGGCGAGCTGGGAGCCAGCGGCTGCTTGCTGGCGCTTCGTGTTTTCCTTGGCAACCCCGCTCCCCGGCCCGACCTGGGCGGCTGCGGCGCTGGAGGCACTGGGAGAGAGGAGACTTGGTTTGGGTTTGGGGGGGGGGAAAGGAGGGGGGTGGTCTTTGATGGTCTAGCCTGGCTTGACAGGCGCTGGGAGGCCCAGGTGTTTGGAAATCTGGAGAGAGGGGGTCGGGGAACTGGCAGCTGATAAAGAGCCCTTGTTCTCCTTACCTTCCACCCTGTCTCCCCCCCCCCCCCCCAATACAGCCTGGGAGGGGATCCCTGGAACTTTCTGGGAGTCCCAGCACCTCTTCCTCCAGCTTCCCCAGACCTGGTGCTGGGGAGTGGGGAGGGTGAGCCGGCTGTCACCCAACTCCAGCCCGAGCCAGGCTGACTCACCCAGCGCTGCGAAGAGGAAGAGCAAAAAAACAGAGAATTCGTTTGAAACTTAAACTGTGGAGAGCCAGGAGGGGGTGAAAGGGCCCCGCACAAGCCAGCTGATCTGACAGGGGGCCACATACCTAGGAGATTAAGTAAATATGTAGAAAACCCGAACCTGCGTGCAATTCCAGGTTGCTTTTGTTTTGCTAAACGCTGCCCTGAGATTTACAATTCCTCCGGGGTGGCTGGGGCTGCGACTGAACTTTGGAGCCGGAGCTATCAGCCAACGCTGATCGCCATTAACTCTTCCCTCGCCGGCCGCAGGGGCGTCCCAGCCCATCAGGGGGGGCTGCTGGCCCCGGGCTGCCTGCCGCTTCTCCTTGGGTGGTTTGGACAGCTGCTTGACCTTGGAAGGGGAGTTTGGGAGTGTTTTTAACCCTTGGACACACACAGAAAGGAGAAGTAAGACGTGTTCTCAGCAGTTTCATTTCCTCGGGATGATGCCCTTGGCGGAGGGGCTGGGAAGGGCAGAGGAGGGAATTATTGCAGGGGGACGTGCAGTTGAGGACAGTCGTGTGTGATTGTCATTCCTTAGCTGTCTGCACCCCACAGACACCTCCTTCTGACTCTCCCGGCTGGCCCCAGTCCTGGCTCTCTCGCCGCTCCCGTAACTGGCTGCAGTAGGCACACGGAGAACTCCTTCAGTCAATCTGGAAAAACTTGACTGACTATAAACAAGCCCAAATTGAAAGAAGCCTATGGCATTGGGGGAGGGGGGAGGGGGGAGCGTGCAGAGTGGGCCCTGCAAGTTCACACACTGGGAACCGTGCCCCACCTCACTCGGGTTGGACCCTCTCTTCCAGGGAATGAACCGGGACCCATGGGAAATGTCTTAAAGTGGCACCAGGTCCCCAGAAACAGGATCCACAGCCCCTCCCCCCCGAAACTCCCAATGCCCTTCACCCTAGGTTCAGTCACCAGACCTGTTGGGGTGACCAAGAACGGAGCTCCCTGTAACTCATAATTATCCGGCCAATTACTGGAGCCACTTCTGAACGAGCTGTCCTCTCGCTGTCACACTGTCACCGTGGGAAATTTGCAATCTTGCCTGACATTGGGACTATCTCCAGACCTAGGGGAGTTTGGGGGCCCATGGACTTGGGGACCCAGGGACACGTGTGGTGGAGTGGGGAATTCCCAGGAGACTGTGGGGTGGGTGATGTGCTCCATGGGCCTTGGGCAGGTCCTGGAGCTGCTGGGGAGAGCGGGAGGGCAGCGCCCCCTGCAGCCTGCAGTGAGGTGAGACAGGTGGTAGTGTCAAACCACAGATGACCATGCCTCCTTTGGTGGAAGGAGGGGCTGCCTCTGAGAGCCCTTCCAGCTTGGATTTGGGGTGGGGTGGACTCAGAGGGGGAAAGGCCCCCAGAGAGATAGAAAGGAGGAAGAGCAGAGTCTGCAAACAGCCAGCAGGTCCCGAAAAGGTCTGTTTACTTTTGGGGGGCGAGCGCCTATCCAGTTTCACACAATGACCTTGAGTCAAACAGGACTTGGCAATATTTGTGGACAGTAGTGTGCCTTAGGCCGTAAAGGTGACCCCCAATAAGGGCTTTTCTTAAAGGGACACAAAGGCTCCAGGGATTAGAAAGGTTCGGTTAGGTAGGGTGTCTCAGGGGAAGGCTCTTCCTTTTGATTTTCCATGTCCTTCTGGGGTTCCTGCCATGGAAGCATTTATAGAGCTCAGGCCCATCCCTCTTCCCCCCAAAGGCCTGGCCAGCTAGTCAGCTGGCCCAGCCTCCGACGGCTTTGACCTTGACATGGTTTTTACAGGAGGAGGCGGGAGGATGAGAGTGGACTGTTTGTTTGGAAGCATTTGCAGTGGCTGTTCCAGCCTTGGGTCCAGTATGATGACGCGGTTGGGCCAGAGGCCTGAGCCATGATGGCAGGCTTGTGGAGGCAGGGGCCACACACAAGGGCCTGAGCGCCCCGAGGAGGAGGGGTAGAGCCGGGTCTCGGGGTCCCATTTCAGGAAGGCGGTGTGAGAACTGGCTCGCAGTTGCGTCTGCCTTGCTACTACGGAATGGACGGTGTGTGCGTCTCCAGCCCTGTGCCTAAAGCAGCTAGCCACGAACTAGCCTCTGATGCAGATTTGTGGATCCCATTCTCCCTCACATCCGTCCAGCAAGTCCCGTGCTCTTCTCCTTCCCGACACTGGGGCAGGCCCAGGCCCACCTGCCCCAGGACGGCAGCCTCCGCGAGACCTCAGCTGGGTCCGGGTTAGGGGTGGATCCACTAAAGATGAATGAAGACGGAGAGGCGTGGCCAGGTGCTCACAGTCAAGGCGCAGATTACGGCGTGCGTTCGTTTCCCGTGGCCGCCCTGACAGATTGCCAGGAACTTGGTGGCTGACAGCAGTGGCAACACATTCTCAGCTCTGGGGGCCACAAGTCTGGAATCGAGGTGCTGGCAGAGCCCCACTCCCTCCAGAGAGACTAGGGGACAGCCCTGCCCCTGGTGCCTCCTCGCGGCTCCCAGTGGTGTCCTCCGCTGCCACAGTCTCTCCAGGCTCTGCCTCTGTCTTCACGGGGGCGTCAGCTTTGTCGCTCTGTGTGTCTCTGTGTCCTCTCATCTTCTCAGAAGGACACACTTGTTGGGTTTAGGGCGCATGTCGAGGCCCCCTTGGGAATGCACATGGTTGACCTTTAAATTAATGTCAGCCGAGTCCGAGGTGACTGGCATGGCCGTTCCCAAGAAACAGCCTCCCAAAATGTCTGTCATCAGTACTGATTTCTTATCTTTATCCATGTGCTTGGAATGAGGAACGAATAGGACCTGGGCTCACCCAAAACTTCTTTGACCTTAAACCCCCCTCTGGAAATCAGTACTTGTGCTGTGTTGTCTGTGGTGGGTGTTGACTGTCCCTCCATCAGAGTGACAGCCCCCACCTGGCACCCAGCTTTTGGATCTATTTCTGCCTCTTGTCCCTTTCTTTTCTTTTCTTTTCTTTTCTTTTCTTTTCTTTTCTTTTCTTTTCTTTCTTTCTTTCTTTCTTTCTTTCTTTCTTTCTCTTTCTTTCTTTTTTTTTTAATATATTTTATTGATTTTTTTATAGAGAGGAAGGGAGAGAAATAGAGAGCTAGAAACGTCGATGAGAGAGAAACATCAACCAGCTGCCTCTTGCACACCCCCTACCGGGGGATGTGCCCGCAACCAAGGTACATGCCCCTGACCGGAATTGAACCTGGGACCTTTCAGTCCGCAGACCGACGCTCTACCACTGAGCCAAACAGGCTTTGGCTCTTTTATTTCTTAATCCCCAGCTCCTCCACTCAGGAACCTGTCCTTCTCCCTTTCCGTGTGGGACGCGGAAAAAGGAGAAGCACCCGCCGCAGACACACACTAAGGTCAGTAGGACCTGTGACCTCATCTGAAGACCCTTCACCAATTACCTTTCCAAAGACCTTAGTGCAGTGGTCAGCAAACTCATTAGTCAGCAGAGCCAAACATCAACAGGACAACGACTGACATTTCCTTTGAGAGCCACATTTTTTAAACTTAAACTTCCTCTAACGCCACTTCTGCAACATAGACTCTCCCAGGCCGTGGTATTTTGAGGAAGAGCCACACTCATGGGGCCAAAGAGCCGCATGTGGCTCTCCAGCCGCAGTTTGCCGACCACAGTCTTAGTGGATGTAAAAGGGGCCACCTACTAACCAGACGAGCTCAGGGGAGGCCAGCACGGCAGGCCCTGCGAACGCAGACGGAAAGTAACCACTGGGGATGACCGGAACACGAACATTCTTCACGAAAATGAGTCATCATGGTAGGCGCATCCGGGGCCTATGGCTTCCCCGACAAAGATCAGTCTTTACCTTACCGGAGCCTGCCTGTTGTCTTTGCATCTAAGATAACATACCTTTGAGCTGTCAGAGGAATCTCCTTTTCCGGATCCCTCAGGGCTCGTGTAAGCACAGAGACCAGAGGCCCTTCCCTAATCCCTTGTCTCCCGAAAGCCATCTCTGTGCCTGTAAATGTTAACTGCCAACTGCCCAGCACCCAGCAATGCCAAAGTACGTGTTTCTCCGTTTCTCTTTTTGTCCAATCCCAGGGTTCCCTCTTCCCGGAGCTTTCTCCCGCCCCCTTAACCGACCAGCACTGGTTTCAGGTAACCCTCCCGTGTCTCCTCCTTTGATTCTAATGGAAAATGAGCTGCGAAACTGCCATTCTCCAGAGCATCTTCTCAATTCGTTAAGATTTTGCTTTCTGGCCCTTGTCAGTTTGGCTCAAGTAAACTCAGGGAAAAAATTCTCTACGGGTTTGGACCTTTCCTAGGTCCACACCCTGTTTCCAAATAAGGTCATGTT